GTTAAAATGTTTCCAAGATTTCCCGTCAGACGGGTGAGTCATTTTGCCATCTGTTTGTGAATGTTCCACATGCCATCTCATCGACGCAGCTGTCCGTTCAGATTGATATAGTCTTTTTAACCTATCAGTGATAGGAAGATACCACATTCGTTGGTAAGGAATCTTCTTACGCCCAGCAATTTGCGGTCTATATCTTGGCTTTTGGCAGAAACGACATTCTTCAAGCTTCTCATCATCTCTCCAAAAAAGCATACAATTATCAACACAACATCAATCATCTCAGAAGGCAATCCAAGACTAAAAACCAGCTTCTGAATTTCATAATACGTTTCAGCAGCCAAATTATCATATGGCAAATACTCTTTAATAAGATCTGCCCAATCGTTCATGCAAACTTCAGATAGATTGTGATCAGTTTTTATTGTCATCATCCGAGCTGCCAATGATAATTTTGATAAACTTTCCCTACATCCCTCGTACAGAGGCTGTTTTGCTGCGTTTAACATATCATAAAACCGTTTCGCATCTGCATTGAGCTCCTCAACAGTATCAGCATGTGTTTCATGAAATGCATCAGTAACCATTTCATGCATCCTATCATGATCTTCACCCTGAACTTGACTACTTTGATAATCATTGGACGCTTCAAAATCCACATGTTCTTGATGATTACTACTACTCCTTGTAGCCATCTGACCACTACTTTGACCATATCCCTCTCCATGCTGATACCAAATAAAGTATTGGAGCATGAACCCTCTATTCAATAAATGCTGCCAGACAGTGTCAATAGGAATATGTTTCCTATTTTTGCATTTCACACAAGGACAATACATTTTGCCGCTTTCAATTACAGTTTGCATAAGGCCGGCTTGGTACATGAATATTTCCAATCCGTTTTTGAAGTCTTCAGTCAACGACCCATCACCATTTTTGGGCGTATACATCCACTTTCGTAGATCGTATATAGACATTTCAAAAACAAATATTTGACTTTTTGTTTTTGAAATTTGATATAAATTTCAACTACTAAAAATTTTACTTAAACATTCAAAGACTCAAAAAATTTGTGTCTTTATATGTTTTTTCGGGTTGATGGAATAATGAGAGAAGAAAGGGTATATATAGAATTTTTTGTTTGGTTACCAACATATTACCATTGCATATTTACATCAAATTTACGTCGAAATAAAATTTACATCATATTTACATTGATTTTACGTCAATTACAAGATAAAGGACAATTAGTCATATTATCGATGTAAATATTACGACAATATTACGACGAAATAAAATTCGTTCTTCATTTGTCGTAATATCGTCGTAACATTACGACGATTTTACGAGGGTCATTTTTTACGTCGAATTTACGACGAAATTTTAGATCCTCGTAAATACGACGTAATGTCGTCGTAAATTTACGACGACTAAAAATCGTCGTAAATAATTCGACGGAAAAGCCCCTCATTCTTGTAGTGAGGGATAGAAGAATCTCTTGTAAACAGATTAGTTTTTAAGAGATTCGAATTTCAGAGTTTTTGGTTCTCATAAATCAAAGAGAGAAGAACACGTTAAAAAGTTTGATCAAAATTCTTCACTGAATAACACTTAGGCGATTTTCTCTAATTTATAGACTAAGAGAGAAAATCGCAGCCCTAATACAAAACTACATGAAGTTTGACATAAAAACAACACGAAGTTTGATTTAAAAATAAAACAGCGAGGCGTCCCTTCTAAATCCTAAGTGGTGCGCCTAAAACAACTAGTGCACAAGTCATTGTGACTTTGCACGTTATTACCCATTAGTAACAACTTCTAAGTAACTCGACGTAGCAATGATTTCTGCCTCGTTAAAAACCTTGGAGAAGAACCTCCTTGCCTTCCAAAATCCTCACCAAGGAAAAGAGTACAGAATCATCACCTAAGTTACCTAGTCATTGTTACTGGGTTCTTCATTCTTCAAGATAGAGATGTTGAAGATGTGAGCTCCAGCCTCCAGTTGATCGATGTCCTCTGCGGCCATGAGTGTGTGAGCCTCTTTAGCCATCTCTCTAGCTCTGGAATGAGTGATCCTGCCAGCTACCTCTGGTTCCTCCTCCTCTGAGCTGGTCACGATCATATCAACCAGTTATTCCTCTTTCTTATTGAATACTGAATATATAAAAATAATATATTTTCAGTTACGTATTCATAAGAGTAGCAGTTATTCCTCTTTCTTATTCCCATTATCTCTTATAATTACTTACGGTCGCGTTTATTCGACGAGACTACTCAATTTCCATCATTTTCTCTTATTTAAGTTCTCAAATCAAATCTATACGGAAAAGAATTCTCAAATCCACCATTTTCTCCATTTTCACCTCCTTCTTTACTCTTCCAAATCCATTACCTTCTCCTCCTTTATGCTAGGGTTTAGATATTCATTTTATATTTCAAAAATCCATCATTTCTCCTAGGATTTCAGATCTTCAGTTTATTTCTCAAATCCATCACTTTCTCTAAAGTCGGCCTCCATCACTTTCACCTATAAATCCACATAAAGGTTACCATGGCAGATTACTCCTACCTACTAGTCCTACCAGACAAAAATACTGGAAAAGGTAGTGGCAGCGATGGTTAACACAGTTGGTGACCTAATCCGGATTCGTTCTATTTTTCATATATTTTACGCATGCACCAGAGGCCTTGGATTCTATGCTGAAGTTGTTCCTATTGACATGGTTCATCCAGAGGATCAAGATGTCCATCTCATCATTGATATCTTCAGAGAGTTTTATGATGCTGGAAATCCAGGAATAATTTTCATGCGAGGTATGCAACTCTATTTTCAACTTCACAATTTTGGAATTCAACTGATAAAGGTTGCGGCGGATAGAGGGTACACGCGTGCAATCTATGTATATGAGATGTTCATGAAACTTGTTATGGAACATCCCGAGGGTGATGAGTACCTCAGTCAACTAAGCCGAGAAACCTTAAGGAAGTGCATCCATAAAATCATTGAAGAAGGATATCTTGGAGGGCCAATGGAGTTGTCGGAGATGTTCAATGAAAGCCACCGTTGCTTTTTACCGCACATCAATACTCTCATCCACTGTCTGTGCGGTTCAGTAAACCCATGGGTGCATTGGTGGGATGAAATGTATAAATCAAGGAACATCTGAAACTCCTGCTTCTTAACTCACGAAAACGAAAAGTTCTTCCGATATGTGTACCGGGCAGTGAGGATATTCCTGAAATGGTGGACTGGTGAATGTGACTCCTGCATCAATCCTGGTCTTATGTTTTGTGTCTTATGTTTTGCGTTTTTGTACTTTCTTATGTTCTGGATTCCTTATGTTAACAATTCCTTATGTTTTGTAGTTCCTTATGTTGTGTATATTAATTAAACATTATTTTGATAATTTTAACTTGAAATGTTTAGGCCAAGTATTCCTCATATAAAAGTGGTTACACCAAATAATACTAAGTTATACAATTGGTTACACGAAATAATACTACGTTATACAAATGGTTACACCAAATAATACTATGTTACACCGATATACATGTGGTTATACCAAAAAATACTACGTTATACAAATGACTGTAATCCTATTCTGAATATAAAATAAATCATAATTATAAAAAGTAGACAATATTATGTTTCCATATATTGAGGAATAATTTATACAGTTAAGGCAAATATCCAAAAAAATCAAAACTATTTATCAGCCCATTTGTTACAATTGATTTCAATTAATAAGTCAAACTGGTAGGTGTAATTAGTATTAAAAAAAACATTGAAATTTGAGGACATTGAATATTTTTATCAACCCTATACATATTACCTTGAGATGATAAAGTTATACAAAAATGGAGAATACAGATCAAAGAAAATATGATGAAAATGGACTGCTGATCATTAGGCCACCACCATTGATCATGCGATTTGGTGTGGCAGTCACCACCTACAATTTCTGATTCAGAGATTGAGGAAAATAAAATGTGAGAAGATATGGAGTTACACAGCAAATCAAATGCCAAGGCCACTGAGGTTTCGTTAGAGGTAAGTTATTCGTTTATTAAAACAGTTTTTAAAATCTACTTTAGATTAGTGAACGGTAAATTGAACTTGTAATCTCTGCAGACTGATAAAGAAATATCAACTGATGAAACTCCAAAAGAACTTTGCCAAAAAGCAAAACACAAAATTCTATCTAGATCTGGGGATACATTTGAAATGTTTACAATGCAGTTTCGTGGAGAGAGAGATTCGAAGCATAGAAGTAGAAAAGTGCAAGAAAAAAGTTTGAAGTGTAGTAAAAAATGTCTATTTCTCCTCTAGATTATCTCTGAATGTTTACACCCAAATTAGGGTTTTCCAATTTACATGTGGTTTCACCAGTAATACTTAGTTATACCAATTTATGGTTTCACAATAATACTTTTGGTTTCACCAATAATACTTAGTTATACCAATATATGGTTTTCCAATAGTACTTTTGGTTTCACCAATAATACTTAGTTATACCAATTTATGGTTTTCCCATAATACCTTTTTTTTTGTTTATGACGTTTGTTTAAAATAAATATAAACTAATAAAATGTTTTCATCCAAAAACAATAACACGAAATATAAGTAAGTACACATACCAAAGTTTGAGAGTTTAATCCAAATACAAATAGTGTCAGAGGAGAGAGTCACAAGTTAACGTATCTGCCTTATGCCTTGTCATAGCTTCGATTGCTCTTGTTTCTGTTTACCTGCACCCACTTCTCCATTCACAGCATCAGCAACGTCTGGTTGTACCTACACATACAAAGTAATACAACATAGTGTTACCACAAAATATTTAGTATTACCAAAACAATGGATATTACTCTTCAAACTACAATACCTTTTTAATACTTCTAAGCAGATACGGAGATCGGGCTAAAAGCAAAACCGCCTCCTTCTGCTCCGCCTCTTTCAGCTATGCCTCCTTCAGCTCCGTCACATTCTGCTCCGGCTCCTTCTTCTATGGCTCCTTCTGCTCCGGCTCTTTCTGCTCTGGCTCCTTCTGCTCCGGCTCTTTCTGATCCGGCTCCTTCTGTTGTGGCTCATTCTGCTGTGGCTCCTTCTGCTCCGCCTCCTTCTGCTCCGGCTCCTTCTGCTTTGCCTCCTTTCGCTTCTTCTGCTTCTGCTTCGGGTGCTTCTGCTTCGGGTGCTTCTGCTTTGGCTGATTCTGCTTCTTCGCTTTCTCAATTTTCAACACACTTTCAAGTTTCTCTCCACCTTCAGGAGGATCTTCATGTTCTTCTTCATTTCGTAAAACTTCTTCTTCCTCATCTCCTGGTCCTTCTCTTCTTGCCTCTTTTACATATTGTTCTACAGAGCAGAGTCTTGTATCAATGTCATCCATGCGGCCACTGATTCAGAGAAATTGAACGTCCATACTCTTCTGCAAGCTCTGCAGCTGTTCCGTCAATCCAAGAGGCGCCACATTCTCTGTAGCCATATTTTTCTTAGCCACTGCAGGATGGTTTACCCACTCCTTGTTATCTCGGGCATCAACATCCATATTGCATATCTCTTTCCAGAATATCGGCTTCTTTTCCTCAACTAAACACCTCGTTCAATTGTCAGGAACAATATCACCGACATCTTCTTCTTCATTCCTCTCCATGACTCTAGCAAGCATAGTTTCCTCATCCTTTGATGGTTGCAATATACTCTCGATGACCCTATTGTTACCCAGTGTTTCATAGAGTTCCGACAAAGGGAAACCTTTTAGGGTGAATTGTTGGAACTTCTGCATGCCCATCCGGGGACAATCCCTCTCTGCTCCTCTAACATCTTCTCTGTATTTGTTCTTCAGACATGGGATGGCCTCAAAAGCTAGCAACTACACATAACCCAACAAATTACGCTTAAGCTCATACTATTACAAGTACACATAGATCTACAAATTATTTATAATGTGACATACCTACAATGGAGTAACAAAGCTTGGATATGTCCAGGCATCTGTTTCCACGACCTCTTTGAAATGCCTCATTGTGTGCTCAGTCTCCTTCATATTTACTTCGCAGGAATACATACCCCAAGGAAACCTTCTACAAGCCTCAGGAATTAAGGGTTCAACAGATGGTGCTCCTTTACCGGTTTTTTGTTTTCCCACTAATTATAGAGGATAAGAAGTAGGCAACACACATCTTCAACCGATCAGGATGATCTAGCCCTCGCATTGATTCTAGCTTTTTTTCAACAGCAGCAAGGGAGGGTACAGTTTTCTTAAAACATCTATTCTTAAACGAATTACTTCTTATGCTCTCATAGTTCTCTGGATACGGTAGACAGTTTAATCCACACAAAAGGGCATGCTCTCTAAGGGAATAGCAAATAGGTACGCCATTCACTACAAACCAAGCTTTCCTATTTTTATATGTGTTTGCTATCCGAAGAAGAAGCAACCACATTCCCATCATCTTGTGTGTTGTGTCCTCATGCCTGGCCCTATGCATGTGCTAAAAGTGCTTGAACTGTGGGTATTCTTTAAGCCATCTCAGCTCATAGATTCAAGGTCTAGGGACTCCAATTTCGCAACAGCTTTGTGGATATAACATCTTATTCCCAACTTTATTACATTATGATACTGACTGGGCTCAAAGAACATTCTTACGGGTGGTGATGGCTGGTTCTCCTCCTCGTCAGCCTCAGTTTCCGTAGTTTCTGTAGTGTTCTGCCACAACACTATCTGATAATTACGCGTCTCCGAATCGGCTCTTCCTTCTACTATTTAATCCTGCGACGAATCGGAATCTGAGTACAGTTCTTGTCTAGCATAACTAAACTCTCTTTTGATACTTTCAATGACTCTTATTTTTGAATTACCAACTGAATAGAAAACATATAAATCGATTTTGATTCTACACAAAATCGAGTTCAATTCTACAAAGTTATCTAAATAGAAAGTAGAAATCAGAGGACGAAGACGAACGAACCTGATTAAACGTTGATTCAAAACAGGAAGCAGCAAATCACTAGTAGTTGTCACAGAGAATACTACGCGAACTAGACGACGATGACGACGATTTCGAATTTTTCTTAAAAAATTTTTTGTCAAGTATATTTGCTATTTAGGGTTTGATCAATTCTCCCAATTTTGAAGTAAGATCCGATTTATTCGGATTCAACCCGATATGACTGATTGCGTGTGGATTTTGGTGATTGAGTTCGTAAATAACAAACTTTTCTAAAGTCCCTCAAGTATTTGATCACTTTTCTTCTTTTAAAATAAGTTCAAAAACAAAATACTTTTTATAACAAAGACTTATAAAAATTTTGGTAACGCAGAAGAAGTATGTCAGATTATTCGCAAAATATTTTAATTGTCTAGATAATCATATACAGTAGAACCTCTATAAATTAATACTCGATAAATTAATAATCACTATAAATTAATAAATTTTGCTGGTCCCAAGTCGGGCCAATGTAAAAATCCATCAAATTCGATAAGATAATAAAATAATAATTTTTTGAGACCCTTATGTAGATACATGGTCCCAACAAACATAAATTAATAATTATATAATTTATGCAATTATATGTAAATTTAATATTCTAAAATATGACTAATGTGTTTGTTTTTAGTTAAAGTTGAAATTTCATTGGTTTTCATCTTTCTAATTATTATATCAGTAGCTCTTATTGTTGTTTTACTATATACATTCAAAATTTATGATGATTTTTTGATGTGATAATTGATTTTCTTACATGTAAATATTTTTAAATGCAATGTAGCGTTATCTTCAATTTTATCATCAATGATACTGATAATAACAACAATTTTTTATAAATTTTTAACTTATGAACATGTATATTTTTATATGGACAATCCAATATGGTAAACATTTATTTTATTGTGATAGTTATGATTTTTAATCATAATATATATTATGAGATTTGTTAAAATTTTAAAATATAACATTATTTCAAATAAATTTTTAGAAAATTATATGCAAAAAGCAATTTTTCTTTATAAATTAATAATTTTTAATTTATAGATAAATTAATATCACGATAAATTAATAAAATATCATGGTTCCAACATTATTAATTTATAGAGGTTTTACTGTATATGATTTTAGGTGAACTCTCTCCATCCTGCTGCCACATTAGCATTTGAATGGAGGACACCTATTCTTTCATCTAATTAATAAATCATAAATTTCAAAAAAAAAAAAAAATTAAAAACTAATTAATACCACCACTTCTAACTTAATTTCTCTATTTAATGTTTATTTCATATGTATTTATGTTCATAACTATTAAGTTACATAAAAATTAAGGCATTTTACATTTCTAACAAAAATAAATAAACAACATTTCTAATCTTTTGATATTCATCTAAAAACTTTTAATATTTTTTTGTACTAACTTAGTACTTTTTCTTCCGGCTTATCCTCATAATGAACACCTTTTTCGAAGCTTGTTGTATGAAAGAAAGTAAAGATGTAGCGTTCTCTACATTCAAAAATTTGACAGTTTTTATGGATTAAATATCATATTATTATAGCTGCATTTTATTGTGAAACATGACGTATGAGGTAGTTCTTGCAGAATCATAGCAATTGTACATATCATAAATATGAGAACATTAAAAATCAGAGGTAATAATATCTTTTCAAGCAATTCAATCCAAAAAATATGGCTTTTATCTACGTCTTTTTTACTCATATCATGTTTATGATTTCTAGAATAGTAGAATAATTTTTCTACTTATACTACTTCCAATTCTAAAAAAAAAGTTATTTGTTTTACAAAGATTTTATTTTAAAAAAAAAACCTTAATACTAAATAATTAAACAAATTACCATATTCTTATAATTATATATATATATATATATAATAACACAAATATATTTTTTTAAATATTATGTTAAACAAAACCCGCGTGTATTCGCAGATACAAGTCTAGTGGATTTAAAAGGAGCCGATAGACCCACTTTGGCTTTCTCCATGACCCATGTGTATATGATCTCTCTCTTATATGACTTTCTTAGTTTCTTTTTTTAAAATCACTCATATTATTGTTTAGGGCCATTAGACAAGAGTGAAATTATACTATTTTACCAACAACAAAAAAGAGTGAAATTATACTTATCTAAAATAAACAACGGAACCTAAAATAAACAGTGACTTTAGTCCTTAAGGCATCTTATGCATCCACATGTGCCGCTTATATATTCAATCTCCTTCTATAGCAGTAGGCAACGTATTGCTCAGCTTAATTCTAGAGGGGCTTCTGGCAAGTGATAATGCCAAACTTAATGATACCTTTCTTGTATCCTTTGATCATCAACGGCATTGTCAACGCTCCTTTTATACTCTTCATACCTGTGTGTTTCCAACTTCCACAAGTCTTAGCTCTTATATTAAACACTTAGAATCATGAATGTAAACAACATTGAGGGAAAACATACCACTACGAAGCAGCGACACAAGGCCCTTCCACGTTAACGCGGTTTGGATAACCGCCGGCCAGAAAGGAGCTACGTTCTCTGACCAATCTGCACACTTAATATCCTACAAAATACACAGATATTTGAGACACTAATTAGCTAACTCCAAGAACATGGTTTTGACACGAAATTAGGGTGAGAAATATAGTAACCTGGATAGAGTGGGATTGAAGCAATTTGACATAATCAGAAGTAGAGCACCAGGCCGGGAGATAAAATGTCTTGCAGATTTTGTTCAAGAGGTCTTGCTCCCATGGCTGCAAAGCTTCTTCCCCTTCGGATAGATTTCTGTGGCACCATGTGACTATTATTATTTTTCCTCCTGGAGCTGCCACACGTACCAATTCATTCACGAACTACACACATTTCGCACACACAACAAATCATTAGATACCTTATAATTCTACTTCCGCTATAAATTTATGAGCTGTCAAGTTCTTTCTGTCGAAATTCCATTGAAAAATCGCAGAAAACTACCTATAGTTATGCTAACACCCGCATTCAAAACATTCCTAATAAACTTTACAAATAATGCCTTCTTCAAATTCTTCTTAATATTTAGGAAGCTCATAAATTATTCATAAACTGTTTAGACAAAAAGCAACATGACATAACAATTTCAAACGATAATTTCCGAATATTTTTTTCTTTTTATGTCATTTTTTAGTCAACAGAATTTTTTTTGATATATATTGGTTAGTAATAAAGTTTGAAACTTAAATAGTAAAAAAAGATTCCTAAAAAGGGATATGACATAAAATTATTAGATGACTTTGACTCTCTCATAATTTTGTTCTCGTATATTAAAAGATAATGAAAAAAAAATAGATAAGATATAATCTACGAAATCTAGTATAAAGATTGTGGTAAATTTCACTGATAATTAAACGTTTATACTACTGAGAGTATTACCTTAGCCTTGTCAGGCATATGCTCACCGCTCTCCATTGACCACACCAGATCAAATCTCCCATCTTCAAATGGCTGCTCCAACGCATCTGCAACTTGGAAGGAAACCTGTGCCAGTGTCGTCGCAGTTAGAAGGGATATTACTTAGCTATTTTTCATATTAGTTAGCCATTTTACACATTCCTAGCTCCGAAGGCTACCTTATGATTCATACGATTCGGAAGTCCACCCATCGGAAAAAACGGTTGAAAGGTACAAGAAAATACCTTATGAGAGAGCGATTGAGCAGCGGCGAGATCATTGGCTCTCTTGGCCTGAAAGGGGCTGAGAGTGATGCCAATACATTCTGCTCCAAATTTAGAGGCAAGATACCTTGAGCTTCCTCCAATCCCACACCCAACATCCACTACTCTCTTTATCTTTTTCTCTTCTTCATCTTCAATTTTTTCAATCACAATCATTTAATGAAACCAACTCAAAATATATGTTCACCGGATCCACATAATTTATTCAGTTTAGGTTTTTATTTAGAAAATAAGAAGTTGGGAAAAATGGCCAAAAAGTTTATATTCACCTACAAGTCCCAAGAAAAATAGATCATAACACAGTATATTACTGTATATAACTGTAAACTATATACAGTAGTTTTGAGTTTACAACTATGTATGTTATAAAGTTTACAAGCATGTCTTGTTTCATATGCAAAATAAAAAACAATATAGACTTTACATGATAACAATATAAAAAATAAAAAAATTGTTCATAGAGGTTAGTAATAAAAAGTAACAAGTAACATGAAACATGGCTAATAACAAGTAACACGTAACAACAATCTGACATGGCTGCTGCTTTACATAATATTATTAGTTTTTTCTTATCGTAAGCGTACTGTTATCCAAAAAATTTATACTTTCTGTAAATGTATAAATCTGTATAAACTTATATGGTTTCAGATCTTTTAATCGGCACAAAGCGAAAATAATGGATATTTTTGCCAGTCCTACTTTCACCGATAAATATTAATATAGAAAATACAAATTTTCAAAGATTTTGAAGAAGGATTTGTCTGAATTTGTTTGTAGAAACTTATTACGATTTTTCGTTCAAATTTTTTTTATTACCAATCATCAAAAGGAGGGTGTTAAGAAACGGACCCGTAACGCCGGCAAAACGGAGAGACTCTTCAATCATTCGGATCTGAGCTTCCCGGTGACCGGAATCAGAGAGTTGAACGGAGGAATCAGGGTCGTAAAACCCATGATGCATATGATCTCCCCATATCTCCTCCCACAATCCGGAGGTCTCGTTGTAGAATTCCGCTATTCCTTGTCGCAACTTCTCAACGGAGGTAGCAGAAGCCGTCACAGCTACGTTCCCACGCGCCGCCGTCATCGTCATAGAAGCTGAGGATGGTCGTAGGGTACGAAGGAGAAGCGACGGTGACTGAAAAGAAGAGACTTTGCGATGGGGAAGGCATGTGAGAGAGGAGGGTGAGAGTGTCGCTTTCATTTATAATGGAGGTTGGAGAAACAAGAAATGTGACAATGTTTCATTTTTTATTTTATTATTGCTATTGGTAGAGTTTCAATCTTTTTTTTGATAGAACCTTCATGGCACTGTTAATCAGTTTTGAGCCACACATTTGATGATACAATATGTATGGGTGCGATCATGTATATTTCACTTGTTTTTTTTTTTTTTTGTTCTTTTTCAATTTGAGTAAATTATGTAAATAATAGAATTTTGGAAAAGTTATATAAATACTAAATAGATCAAACCAATTAACTAGTACTGTACGAATATTTTTCTTATTTCGATTTTATATTTCATTTAAATTTTACGATTTTTATACTTTTTATTAATATATTAAATTTATTAATAAAAATATTATTTACCCTAAATGTTAAAAAATATGAATGAAGCTTCAAAATTCAAAAGTGTGTCTTTTTTTGCTGAAAGCTTATAAAAAAATATAGTAAAAACAGAATAACTGTGTGTGGTAAAATACTGTTTTTCATACGAGTTACGTGTTATCACGATTTTTTGCAGGTACGATTTTCCTGGATCAAACTAGGTTTTATTTTGGCATACGTTCCAAATACCCAAGGCTTGGCTTTAACACCATGTCTTGGATACTACAGACTAAAGAGACCCCTAAAAGCCATCAGTTCCTGAATTTTTTGTATCTAATAATGTAGGTTGTGCTGTCAGAAATAAAGGACAAAAACTGAGTGGTCAGGAATAGATAACATCTTTTTTCTATTTCGATCAAAGAATTAACGTAAGAGAAAGATAATCAACATAGACACCCAGAACAAGGAGCATGAAGAGCAAGATTATACTGAAAGCCCAATCCCCAATATCAGGGGCCTTAGGCCAGTTATAAGGTTCATTTAAGCGAAACTAACTACCTTGACACTTGAATTTTTTTTTCCATTTGACAATCAGAATATGGACACATGTCTTAGACAAAACCTATGCCTCTGTAAACCTACGAACCACACATTACTTTTTGTAATATATGATAGGTGAAACTAACAGCACATGGAGCATTCGGAAGAACGACAACATGACGGAAGACTATACCACGTCCGAATCGCTGCACTAGAACCATACACTAAGGGAGATGGAGAGACACTAAGGTTCTGTCTCATAGCATACAGATGGGGTCAAGAAAAGTAGGTATGAAAATCAGGTAGAAACCTACTTGACACCAGACTCGAACCCAAACTCGTCAACCTGACAACATAGGATCCGAACAGGTATACTAATCTAGGTCAAGTAAAACTCTATAAATACACCATTCTCTCCAACAAAAAGGGGTTTGCTTCCTGACTCTCATATTATTATATAGATAACCGTGAGATTAAGAGGTTGAAAATATAGATCTTCTAAACACTTCATGTTTATTCTTTCCTAGATCAAATCTTATTTCCAGCCACTCATTGGGCATTTCTATGGTGGTTCTTAGACCGCAAGGACCTTCCATTTAAAGGTTTATTTCACTTTATCTCATTTAAAAAAATTGCCTTAAAAGGCCTACATCTTAAGGACCCGACTAGCCTACTTCTCTTATTAGTTTTTCGAACACTTATTCTTCTCTCCGACATATATATTACTATGTGGTCTTTTTCGTTAAATTTTATGACTTGAACGTCAAAGTATCTTAAAAAATTATCCATTCATCGTGTTTTTCTATCTTTCAAATCTTTTTTTTTTATTTGTAGAAGACTTACTTCATAGAAAATAAAAATTTCCTTAAACTCCATAATAATATATACCGTTTCTTATTTTGTGTTGAACTACAAAAATGACCACCATTTCTGCATCACATTCCCTAATTTTTTCTAATTGATCACATAAATTCAAAATAGCATTAACGTTTGAAATCCAAAATTAGAAACTCTAATTTACAGTTAACAAATTAAAATGTTACAAAAAGAAAATCACTAGTTTATTTTTTTCCACTAGTTCCATAATTACGAAATGAAGAAGATTATCCAAACTCATTCTTTAAGCAGTCGCATTTAGTTTGCATTGATAATTTTTAGGGAGAATTGGTTTTATAATGAAAATTAAATTACAATTTGTCCCCTTAATGTTTTCTAAAAAATATTTGTCCTTCTAATATTTAATTTAAATTTAATTCAATTATACCCTTTAATTTCGTATTAATAAATTAATTTATTTTTAAAAATGTTTTAAGAATAAAAAAAAGGAAAAATAACCCATCTTCTTCACCTTCACCGTGAGTCTCCATCTCCTCCAAGTCACCTGCAAACTGTAAGTAAAACATATTTCTTCTTCTTCTTCCTCTGTCTGGGTCGAATTTCTTCTTCTCCTCCATTCAAACCCTTGATTCTAGGGTTTACAATTTCTCAATTGATTTGGGGGTTTTGTTTCTGGGTTTGAGTTTTCATTCAAGTGTATTCTCATTCAATTGTTTTTGAGTTTTTGGTCATAGGCACATGTATTCTCATTCAATTGTTTTTGAATTTTGGCTCATATCCACATGACCGATTCTGGGTTTTATAATTTGGTGATTCTGGGTTTGCTAATTTCGATTCTGGGTTTGCTATTTTTTGTTTACTTCAGTATCAGTGGCGCTTGCATTACGATCCACCCACAAATCCTGCAGCTCCTGCTCGTATTCCTGGTGCTTAGCTTCGGTGAGTTCTCCTTTGAAATCCATCGACTCTCTTCTATTTTTGTTATCTTCTTCATCGCATGTCTTCTTCATCACAAATCCTGCAGAACTTATTAGGCTCTTTATTAAACGGTTTTATCTGCTTTTGTTTAAGCTCTTTACTAATTAGTTTATGAATTGGTCTAAGCTGCAACTGACCTACTGGCTATACTGATTGGAATAACTTACCATGGAAGTTAGGTGACCAGATTGGTCATTTTGTTACATCTGAATTTTGAAGTCGCTTGTGTGATTTCAGGCCAGAGCTCTCATCACAAGGCTCACCGAGGAAAAGAACTCTGGTGTTCAACTGAATAACAAACTTCAGCAAGAATTGGTAAGAAGCTTTTTCATCTGATCCTTATATTTTTGAACTATTTCTCTCTATAATTTTCACATGCACTTTCTTAGCTAGTAGTTTCCCTGGTATCTGAGAAGCAGCCATTTTCTTGGTTTTTTTTTTAACTAGTACGAAGATTTTAGCTCATCATTTTCGGTGGCCTTTAATTATGTATGTTTTATTGGTATCTGAGAAGCAGCCATTCCTCTTTATTGCCATTTTGTGTAGTTCGTAATGTGGAGATCACTTTGAGTATTATATTTTTGTCAATTAGATACCTCACCATCATCTGTATCATCATTTCCTCCCTACAGTGTCTATGCCATTTTGTGTAGTTCGTAATTGCCATTTTACGTTTTGTTCATTATTTTTGTTTTAGTTAACTTATTTTGCTTGATTTTAGTTAAGTTTTTAAACGGAACCTGCTTTCTAGGTTCACTATTAGATACTGCTGGTTTAGATATGTGCAATTACCTTCGTGTGTTGTTTTTTTTTTCCTTCTAAGTTGAATTCGTTTATATGTGCGTGGGTCAAAATCAGAGATCAAGTATTTTTTTAGTTATTTGTCGTGATGAAGTTGAAGCCAAATTTTTTGCCATGTCTTTTTTTGTTTTTATTCGTAGGTATGGACGAGGAACTTCCGAAACTGCTTTTCGAGCCTGGTTTTGTGAATGATATTGACAAGATCAACAATCGATGCATTCTTAACACAATGGACCCCGATAAGAAAGCACTTTCAGACGAATACAAAAAAGTTATGCTAGACCCTGTCTTTGGACCTGTTTTGTCGATTATCGAGAACGACATGGGATATTCAGGGCGACTAATCCATAGCTTTCTGTATAAGGAGCTCATCACCGACAAGAAACACGAGCTATGGTTCGTGTTTGCGGGGAGACCTCTTCGATTTTCTCTGCAAGAATTTCATGCGATTACTGGACTGAACACGGAAGACGATAAGACTTGTGATTTCAGTGATTGGGTTGATGATGGCGGGTTCTGGAGTAAGTTGTTGAGAAGCAAACGTGGAATTACTTTGTCTAACATAGAAACTAAGTATCTTGGAACACAAAGTTTTCTCGTAAAAGAAAAAATATTCTACAGGAACTTTTTAAATTAGAAATTTAAAAATAAGAAAGTCGTTTTTTTGGGGTTTAGGAACCCAGTAAATGCATTTTTTTGGGTTAGAAAGAAAAAAAAAAAACTGGAACTACGTCCGGGGGGAATTGAACCAGGGTCTAAGAGAAGGAATGAGCACAAGGGGAACCAGTAGAGCTATTGTAATAAATCAATAATTGTATACAAGCAATATGTTATAACTATGTAAAATCGTTTTTATTTAAAAAAAATGGAACTCCGTCCAACGGGTACCGAATCCAGGTATGAGAGAACGAATGAGCATAGGGGGAACCAGTAGAGCCATTGTAATAAATCAAGAATTGTTTCCTTGCAATATTATTTAACTATGTAAAGTCGTTTTTATTTAAAAAAAACTGGAACTCCGTCCAGGGGGTATTAACGAATGAGCATAGGGGTAACCAGTAGAGCTATTGTAATAAATCGAAAATTGTTTCCTTCCAATATCTTTTAATGTGTTTATTTTTTTTTTCTTAAAAAATCTCTGAAATCCCATACGACTTGTTAACCCTGAAATTCCTTACATATCGTACAAAGCATCTCTAAACTAAGTTAAACCTTCAGTTTGGCACTTAAACTTGAAAATCAGTACAGAATTTGTCTTTCATAAAGTGAAAATAAATAAGAAAACCGAATAAGCAAAACGAATAACAATAAAAAAAGAGATAGAGAAGAGCCTATATTGGCATGTCACATGCCCCTCTCTTATGTCCTTCGATACCACAGCGACTGCACTTGTGCTTCTTAGTCCGTTGTGATCCTTGGGACGCTCGTATCTTGTCTTCCACACTTTCATATCGTCGTTTTTTCCTGCGTCCTGCTGCTCGTCGCGATTCCGGTTCTACAACTTTGGCATGTTCAACATGATAAGGGACACACCAATCATCCTCTGGACCTGCAATTGGATTAATGCATTCCTCATAAGCTGTTCTCCATGCCTCAGTAGTGTAATAATGATCGGTGAGAATGTGTATCTGCTGGTACACAGAAAACGCTGCTTTAATTGCATGCCGACACAGAATTTTAAGCAAGTCGTACTTGCCACATGAACAAGTTCTTCTGTCCAAATCAACAAGACAGTCATATTTGTCACCTCTGACCAAAAATCGATCCTGGCTAACTGGGTAAACAATGAATGGTTTACCCTTATCAATCCTTCTCTCGATCTTCGTCTCAACCTCAACTGTTAGAGGAGCCTGATGCTTCGAGCTAAGTTTTTTACGCTAAAAAAACCAATTGGTTAACATTTCTCTGATGCTGTCGAGTAGAGGAATAACTGGGTACTCTCTAGGAGTTAGCAATTTGTTATTTATCGACTCAGCTGGGTTAGTGGTTCTAACATCGTACCTAAATCCGGGGAATTTGCATCGTGCCCATTTCTCAACACCAGCGTCCTGAAGATACTTTCCAACAGCTGGACTAATAGAACAAATGGCAGCAAACTTGGTATCAAAAGCAGAAACTCTGTACTCTTTAGAAGCCTTCGCAATCAAACCAGTCAAACCCTGTGTCTTGAAAAATGTTATCACATTATTCAGAAAGTGGTGGATACAGATACCATGGCTAGATTGTGGGTACACTTTCTCAAGTGCTTTAATTACAGAAACATTTCTATCTGACACAAACGCCAAACGCACCTCATCCGCAATGACAACTTTTAGTTGCCTCATAAACCACTCCCAAGACAGGTCGTTCTCTGAATCGACAACCCCAAATGCGATCGGATATAAGTTCGAGTTGCCATCTAATGCTGTAGTAACGAGTAAAACTCCTTTATATTTATTTTTCAAAAATGTCCCATCCACAACAATCACTCTGCGAATAGCTTTGTAAAAACCTCGTACTGATTGACCGAAAGAGAGGAACAGAAACTTGAAACGTCCAGTAATGTCAGTTTCATACTGCGTATGGGTTCCTGGATTCGCTTCTTTCAGCATGTGCAAATTTTTAGGAATTTTGGCATAGCTTTTCCCGGGAATGCCTCGAACAATACTAATCGCATACTCACGTGCTTCCCAAGCATGGTCATAAGAGATGTCACATCCATGCTCTGTACGAATAAAATGAATTATTTCTCTAGGGCTAGGTCCTGCATTAGCACCCTCAAACTTATTCTTAATCAGATTACCAATAGTTTTTGCTGAAGCTGTCCTACCGACTACGTCTTTATTAGAAGGAGCGCATGTATGTTGAGCGACATACTTGTTGATTCTGAAATACTCTGACCCTTCAAGACACTGTGCACGAATACGCCAGTTGCATGACTTCTCTTTGCAGCGGAAACACCACACATGTTTGGTTGATTCCAGTACGTTGTAGTCAAAATTATACTTCATCGCAGAAATTTCCAAAGAAGCCTTCAACTCTGTTTTGCTTCTAAAAATTTGATCTTTCTTTACGACATCAAGCAAGTTAAGCCGAACGTTCTGCTCACCATCAACTTTTTTCTCAACCATAACGGGTTCATCAAACTCTTCCTCAACTTTATGGCCAATGCCTCTAATATCATCATCGCCTAACTTCACAACCTGGTCGTTTTTAATACAGCTTGAATCAGAGGCTTTCATCATCAATTCGATGTTAATCGGAATTTCAGGATGTTCAGCGTACGCAGTGAATGTCACACACAGATTTACCGAGGTTTTATTCCTAGAGTACCCAACAAAATTTTTGAGCTGACGATCATTAGCGATACTCACTGGTGGAGAGCCTACAGTATCAATCAAATCACTCGGTAGATAACTAAACTCAGCTTTGTGATCGACTACTCTATAGTCTTCTAGACCCATTGTTTCTAACTCTGCGAGAGTCGTATTTGATTCAACAGCAACTAACCTAGCTCGTTTTTCTCCATCAGCCACAAAAACACACTTCTTATCTATCCCTGATTTCCATGAACCACAAGACACATAGATATGTAGCATGTTTGAAGCAGAAAATATGTAATTTTAGGAAAAATCTGCTTGATCAATGTGAAAGAAGAAGAAGAGAACGATGACAACCAAAAAAGGGAAAAAAACGTCGCTACAGCATTATTCTAAAAAAAAACCGTTGCAAATTAAAAAAAAAAGATTTTCGAAATATTTAAGATCTGGAAGTTAACTATTTCCCTAGATTTTCTCAGATTTTGGTAGAAGATGTATTCTACATTAATGTAGAATGCAGTCTAACTGGTAGAAGATGCATTCAACGTTAATGTAGAATGATGTCTAATAGGTAGAAGATGCATTCTACAATAACGTAGAACCTGGTCTAACAGGTAGAAAATGTATTGTACTAACATGTAGAATATAGTCTATCTAGTAGAAGTTATAATCTATCAATCGGTAAAAGATATAAAGACCTATAGAAAATGACTTCTACATGCTGGTAGAATATGTGAAAAACTATAGAAATGGGATTCTACGTGGACGTAGAACATAGAACATGCATTCTACCAAGCGTAGAACGAATTTTATAAATATTTTAAAAATATTTTCTTTCCATAAATGATATACGAAAATATTTTAAATTCCTTTTTAGGTATTTTTGAAAATTTTAAAATATAGTTTCGAATTTATTTTTAATTATAACTGTCATAACTGATTTAAAAGGGCAACTACGTCAAAAGTGATAAAAATAGAAAACATTAAGGGGACAAATGTTAATTCAATTGACATTATAAAAGCATTTATATTTTTAGTGTGGAGAGTTATTTTTTGTTGTTTATCTGAAACCCACGATAAAAATGATTTGATTAATTTTATTTAATCCATGTCCTTAATGGAGTGTTGTAGAGACAATAAACGTGGCTCTGTCTTGGATTATTGTTTTGTTTATTGCTACTGGTCCAGTCGGTCTTTTTTTTTTAAAAACGTATTACTGTCTAAGTCTTTTCCTGCCACAAACTTTTCTGATTCCAATTTGTATTGGGGCAAGGGCCAATCATGTAGCGTCCACAATGGCGAAACTAAAATAATCGTCAATAACATATGTAAAAATTCTATAAATTAATAATGTTGGAACTTTGATATTTTATTAATTTATAAAGTTATTAATTTATAGATTTCAAAAAAAGAAATATTTTTTATTTTTTATTCCCTCCGTTTCACAAAGAGTGTCATTCTGACATTTTTCACACATATTAAAAAAATTATTAAAAGTACAATTTTGTCTCTTATTAATACATTAAATAATTTATTTTTATCTAATAAATATATTAAATTAATAGGATTAAAACTGGAATATTGTTTAAAATTTTGCATTGAAAATATAAAACGACACTCTTTGTAAAACAAAAATAAAACCTTAAAACGACACTTTTGTGAAACGGAGGGAGTATCAATTTTGAAAGAGATTTTAAAAAAAAATTATAATCTTTAAATAATTATTTCTAATATTAAAGATGATTTCTAAGAAATTTGTAAGTTAAAATAAATAAAAACATCACTAAACTTACATTTTAATAAATTATTTTATTTATATGTTTATATCAAAATTTATTTATGGTAATTATTAATTTATGATATTAATGGGACCATATATTTACATAGAAGTTTTGCTAAAATTATTATCTTATTATCTTATTATCTTATCGAATCGAGTTATATTTTGAACTGGCCCAACTCGGGACCATGAAAAATTATTAAATTATAACGTTTATTAATTTATCGAGTATTAATTTATAGAGTTTCTACTGTATAAAATTAAAACTGCAAAATTATACTACAAAATTATTATAATTGTTTCTTGTATCATAAAATTTAATATTCATATTTCTTATTAGATTTTCATAGTAGTTTGAAGTTTAAATATTACAATTATAATTTATAATTTGATAAATCGATGGTATATAATATTATTATATATTACTAAGTTATTATCCGCGTATACATGCAGGTTTTTTTCTAATATGTATTTTCTAATTTTATTATTTAGTGGAACTTTCAAAAATTTATTGATTATCCTATTAGACAGAATTGAAAAGAACTAACTCTTATAACAACAATACTTGACTATCTCTTTATTGTAGAATGTGTGTCAAATTTTAACTACTAATCGTATCAGGAGGCTTGAAAATTGAAACTAATATATGAATATAGATTTACAGAACTTACACAGAACGTAACAACAATTGTCGTAGTGACACGACATGTTATATGAGACGACTAAGCTTTTGCGAGAAAGGGAAGGCGAGTTGATTGGTTCCAAAAGTTTAGAAAACAAAGAATGGAGTAATAAGATAAAATTCAGATCATGAGTGAAACGTGAAAATAGTAGAATGAAACCCTATGATGGATTGCTTTTTCAAGGTTCAAGTTAAATCATCAGCACTATGTAAACATCTAATAACTATTCCTCTTCCTCCCATTCAAATAAAACCATATCCTATACCAATCTGCATCTCCTCCTTGAATCCTAAGCTCATTATCGCTTTTAAGGAACCATTGCCCTCATCCCCAGGATGTACTGGTTCCCCTTTTTCTCCCACCTGACTACACATCGGAGCATGTATAGCTTCAAAGAATTTAATCCGACTATGGTTTAGAAACCACTCTTCTTTGATTCATGCAATGTTAATTTAGACTGGGCTCAAATTATTATGGCTCTCTAAACTTCATAGTACTAACTTACTAACTGATATACTTTTGTATTATGGACTTCCGTTTAAATAATACTTTCGTACGGACTTGTAGATTTTTTTTATTTTATTTCTCACGCATTTTAATAGACTACCTTTTATTTGAAAAACCTCTAATTCTTAAGGAAATCCTTGATGGACTCCAAACTCTGCTTCCACCGAAAATTTGATAGAAACAATCTCACAAGTTTATACGTTTATACAATCTTTACAACCTTTGATTTTCATAAAGTCAAATTATTTTGAAACCAACCTATCAACCGTAGTTTAATTTTTAAATCTAAATGAGTGAAATTTCAATAGAATAATAAAAGTGTAACAAAATATGAAAAGTAGATACATGTGCTACTTATGTCGCCATTCTCCTCAAGACTAAATTCCACCACTTTGATTCGACCAACCGTAAACCCTACTGGGAGATATACAGATTTTAAAAGAGAAGGAGCTTTAGATCATTGATTTGAAGTGCACGGTAACGTGTTGAGGATTTTCTTTAACATTGCACTCCCTAAAAGAACCAATAGAATGTGTTAAGAAAATTAACATCTAGTGACAGTGGCTTTAAAATACACTTTATATGGCAATGGCTCTAAAATACATATTCTATAGCGTTTGCGTTGAAGGGAAGGCCGTACAAGTGTTGTACATATCATGCAAAATATGTTCTTGATACAAATTCAGCTTTTGCTCCACAAGCCACTCCATGTCTTTTACACAATTTCAGCTGCTACACCCTCACCCCAGTCTTAATATCAACATGACATTTATTATCGACCTCTCGTTTCACCTATCAATATACCAATACCAACAAATTAGATTACATGTGAAGTAGATCAAAGGGCTCTCGTTCATATTTGGAATCACCAATCTTCCTAACTTTATTTAAATTATTATTTATGAAGATGTTATGAATATAAGATAAACAAATAGAAGAGTCATGAGAAATCTTTTTTATCCCGACTTCTCTAGATAAAGAGAAGAGTTAAGAGAACCAAAATTGTCATTACAAATCGGTATATTCAACATGTGCCATAACATTGTGATGTTAAATTATAACTAAAACTAGAGATGAACTGATACATTCCAGAATTGTAGAACTTAAAAAAGTGTGGAAAACAAAACTTAATTATGATCACTTACAAGAGCGTCTGAATTGTGGATTAAGAGGTTTGTCTCATAAGATTGACGAAGTAAATCTTATCAAAAACCAGAAAATAAATAAAGATATATAGTTGTCAAGTTATGTTAAAGCAAACATAAAACAATATACACAATTAAATATAATTTCTTACTAATGGAAATTGGAAAGTGAAGAGACTCGTTTAAGATGGAAGTGTGAGTGTATTTATGCTGTTCGAAAACTTATGCAGATAGTGTCGAAGATCGTCTTCTCCGACGTCAGCTCCTCTGTAATCATTTTAACCCTCATAATTATCAGTCGGACATAAACTCATAATTAAAAAGCTCAAATCATAGCAACATCGCAAGGCCTACTTACAGGAAGGATTTGGAGGCGGATGTGAACTCTCCAAAGAAGGTGTAAATTATTATAAAATTAGAAATGGAGGATGTAATGACTTTTGAAGCGCATTCTTAATTTTTTTAGTTTTTTTCATTTGGTACCTAAAATGAAGTTGGAAGGACAAAATTTTAATAGTGTTTTATTGTGTTGAAGTGTCAAAGTTAAAGGACATATGTTGTTGTTTGTAATCGTTTAAAAAATGTGATGTAGCAGAAGAAAAGATGCTGATGTGTTAAAATTGTGAGACATAACTAATTTTATAAAATAAATGTTTTATTTTCGTTTACAAAAATTTATAATGCAAAACTATAGTATGGGAGCACACTTTTGGTGGAGTTCAAATAGACAACAAAAGGACTACATTTGTGAGCGTGAAAAAAATTGTGGCAAAATTAATCTGACAGAAGTACTACCTTTTAAGCAGTAGAAGACTTTAGTACTGCATTATTAGCAATAACAATTATGACAGATAATGTATAAACTGGATTTATTATCGGGAAATTACTTAGAATGCACCAAAATTATCATTTTATTACTAGACTAACTTCATTTTACTGTGGAGAAGTAAAAGACATAGGATATTACTTCTATCCCTTATTTGATACTTATAATTACAATGTATGCCATTTCCTTAATAATTACCTAGACTAAAAAAATGTTTTAGACCAAGTATTATAACCCTTTTTACAATTACTGGTTTTTCATAATTTTACAGACTTTTCATCTTCTTCTTTCGGCGCCCTCTCTCGTCTTCCACTTTTTAGGGCTTTGGGTTTTCTCCT